GAAATCGTGGAGTTTCATTTTTAGAAGTAGTTGAAATAATCTTAGGAACCCAGTGTTTTATTTTCCAAAGAAATTGAAAGAACCTTCGGAAAGCTTGGTGTTTCGTTTTTAAAACAATTTATAAAAATCTGCCGGGAGTCTAGTGTTCTCTTTTAGAAAGAAACTGGAAGAATCTCCGAGACTTTCAACGATTAATTCTTTGAAGAAAATGAAAGAATCTTGGGAATCCCAGCGTTTCATTTTAGGAAGAAGTTGAAAGAATCTCAGTGAATCCTAGAATTCTATTTTAGAAAAAAACTGAAAGAATGTCGAGGACTCCTAACATTTTATTCTTTGAAGAAGTTGGAAATCGTGGAGTTTCATTTTTCAGTGTTTTATTTTCTGAAGAAGTTGAAAGAACCTTCGGAAAGCTTGGTGTTTCGTTTTTAAAACAATTTATTAGAATCTGAAGGGAATCTAGTGTTCTCTTTTATAAAGAAACTGGAAGAATCTACGAGACTCTTGACGTTTAATACTTTGAAGAAAATGAAAGAATCTTGGGAATCGCAGTATTTCATTTTAGGAACAAGTTGAAAAAATCTCAGTGAACCCTGGAGTTCTATTTTAGAAAAAAGACTGAAAGAATCTCGAGGACTCTTGACATTTTATTGCTTGAAGAAGTTGGAAATCGTGGAGTTTCATTTTTAGAAGTAGTTGAAATAATCTTAGGAACTCGAGCGTTTTATTTTCCAAAGAAATTGAAAGAACCTTCGGAAAGCGTGGTGTTTCGTTTTTAAAACAATTTATTAGAATCTGAAGGGAATCTAGAGTTCTCTTTTAGAAAGAAACTGGAAGAATCTCCGAGACTCTTGACATTTAATACTTTGAAGAAAATGAAAAAATCTTGGGAATCCCGGTGTTTCATTTTGGGATGAAGTTAAAAGAATTTAGGGAACCCTACGGTTCTATTTTAGAAAAAAACTGAAAGCATCTCGAGAACTCCTGTCATTTTATTCTTTGATGAAGTTGAAGGAGTGTTGGAAATCCTAGAGTTTCATTTTTGGAAATAGTTGAAATAATCTTAGGAACCTCACTGTTTTATTTTCTGAAGAAGTTGCAAGAACCTCCGGAAACCTTGGGGTTTCATTTCTGAATCAATTTGTAAGAATCTGAGTAGCACAAAGTGTTCTCTTTTAGAATGAAACGAGAAGAATCTCTGGATTCCTAACGTTTTATTCTTATAATAATCTCTAAGAACCTGGAGACCCGGTGTTTCATTTATGAAAGAAGATGAACCAATCTCCGGGATATTTAAAGTTTTGTCCTTTAAGGAATAAGTATATAAAATTTTCAGGGAACCTTTGGGTTGTATTTTAGAAACTGAAATAATCTCGAGAACCCCTGATATTTTATTATTTCATGGAATTGAAAGAATTGTGTAAATAGTGGTTGTGACATTGCTGGAAGTAGTTGAAATAATGTTAGGAACTCTAGTGTTTTATTTTCGGAAAAAGTTGAAAGAACCTTTAGAACCCTTGGTGGTTCATTTCTAGATCAATTTGTAAGAATCTAAGGAGCACCAAGTGTTGTATTTTAGAATGAAACGGGAAGAATCTTTGAACCCCTAACATTTTATTCTTCGAGGAATTTCTAAAAACATTTAGCCCCTGGTGTATAATTTGTGGAAGAGTTGAAAGAATCTCCAGGACCTTTAGTGTTTTGTTCTTTAAAGAATATATAAAAATTTCATTGAAACTTAGGGTCTATTTTAGATAGAAACTGAAAGAATCTCGAGAATCCTCGATATTTTGTTATTTCAAGAATTTGAAAGAATGTTGAAAATCGTGGTGTTTCATTTTTGAAAGTAGTTGAAATAATCTTCTCGAAACCCTAGTGTTTTATTTTCGGAAGAATTTGAAAGAACCTTCGGAAACCTTGGTGTTTCGTTTTTAAAACAGTTTATAAGAATCTGATAGAGAATCTAATGTCCTATTTTAGAAAGAAACTGGAAGAATCTCCGAGACTCTTGACGTTTAATTCTTTGAAGAAAATGAAAGAATCATGGGAATCCCGGTGTTTCATTTTGATAAAAAGTTGAAAGGGTCTTAAAGAACCCTAGGATTCTATTTTAGAAAAAAACTGAAAGAATCTCGAGAACCCCTGATATTTTGGCAGTCGTGATGTTCCATTTTTGAAAGAAGTTGAAATAATATCAGGAAATCTCTGAAACCCTTGACGGTTTATTCTTTTAAGAAACGGAAGGAATATTGGGAACCCGGGTGGGCCAGGCTAGTATTTGCCAAAATAAGACTTATTTTGACAAAAGACCTACTCTTCGAAGAAAAGGCACTTGCCCCGCCCACCCACCCTTTATTTTCTTAGAAGAGTAGATCATCTGCCAAAATCAATCTTATCTTGGCAGGTATGGGACTGATTTTTGCAAATGACATATTCTCTAAGAAAATAAGGGCGGGTGGGCGGGGCTAGTACTTGCCAAGATAAGACTGATTTTGGCAGATGACTCATTCTTTTAAGAAAATAAAGGCTGGGTTGGTGGGGCTAGTACTTGCTAAAAATAAAAAAACCTAAAAATCAAAAACTGAAATATAGAAAAAATGAAAAAGAAAACAAATCTTAAAAAATCGAATTCGAAATTCCAGTTTTCATTTTTTTTGGTTTCTAAATTTTTCAACTTTTGAAATTTCATTTGATAATAATTTGCTTGACAATTTTGCAGTTTTTAATTCCTATCTTTTGATTTTTCAATTTAACTTTGCAATTTTGGAATTTTCTTATTTTTAATTTTTCAAGTTCTCAAGTTAAAATTTTTCCTTTTCACGATTTGCCAATTTCGATTTTTTAACAAAAGAACAAATTTATTCGAACCGATATTTTGAAAAATCGGAAAATCCAAAAACTGAAAATTAGAAACAAAATTTTCAGAGGCATTAAAGTTACAGTAAACATGGCAATCGCTGATCGAAAATTTAAAAAATAAAAATCTATTTTCTCGATATTTTTAAAAACCAAATAATTGAGAAAACGAAAAACTGCCAAAATTGTAAAATTAAAAAATCGAAGGTTTTTTCAGTTACTCAGAGAAATCAAAAATCGAAAAACAGATTAAAAAATTGAAAATTTAAAAAGCGAGAAATTGAAAAATTCGAAAGTTCAAAAATCGAAAAACAGAAAAATTTAGTAGTACGCGCTACGATATGACTGATTTTGGCAAATGATCTACTCTCTAAGAAAACAAAAGGCGGGTGGGTGGGGCTAGTACTCGCCAAATAACCTACCCTCTAAGAAAATAAAAGGCACTTGCCCCGCCCACACACCATTTATTTTCTTAGAAGAGTAGGTCATCTGCCAAAATCAATGGTATCTTGGCAGGTATGGGACTGATTTTTGGAAATGACATATTCTCTAAAAAAATAAGGGTGTGTGGGCGGGGCTAGTACTTGTCAAGAAAAGGCTGATTTTGGCAGATGACCTACTCTTCCAAGAAAATAAAGGGCGGGTGGGCGGGGCTAGTACTTGTCAACATGAGACTAATTTTGTAAATGATATACCCTCTAAGAAAATAAGGGAGGGTGGTTGGGGGCTAGTACAAGATTTTGGCAAATGACTTATTCTTCTAAGAAAATAAAGGCTGGCTGGGTGGGGCTAGTACTGAGAGTAACCTAGTGTTCGATTCGTATTTTTATAACGGTACTGGAAGAATCTCGAGGAAAAAACTCCCTAAACCCTGGTGTTCTATTTTTAAAAGAATTTGCGAGAATCTTAGAGAACCTTGGTGTTCTATTTCAGAAAATAACTGAAATAATCTCGAAAACTCTTGATATTTTATTTTTTGAAGCACTTGAAAGAATATTGACAATTCTGGTGTTTTGTTTTTCAAAGGAGTTGAAAGAACCTTCAGAAACCTTGGTGTTTCGTTTTTAAAAGAATTTATAAAAACCAGAAGCAACCCTGGCGTTCTATTTTAGAAAGAATCTGGACGAATCTCGGGGACCCCTGATGTTTTATTCTTAGAAGAAATTGAAGAAGCATTGAGAACACTGCCGTTTTTGGAAAAAGTATACAAAAAACTGCCGTTTTTTTCTTTAAAAAATATATAGATTGTCTATATTCTCTTTAAAGAACTAAACACCTGGGTTCCTAGTGTTTCTTCAATTTCTTCTAAGAACAAAATATCAAGGGTACCCCTAATGTTTTATTTTTGGAAGAATTTGAAAAAATTTTGATTGGTGATTCATTTTCAGAACAGGTTGGAAAGTTTTTCAGAAACCTAGTTGATTTTTAAGAATCTGAAGCGTCTTAGTTCTCTATGTAACAAAAAACTGGAAGAATTTAGAGACCCTTGAAGTTTTATTAGGAACATTAAAAATCATGTTGTTTAATTTTTGGAAAAGTTGAAATAATCTTCGCGAACCTTCGACTTTCGTTGTTTAAAAAAATTATAAGATTCTTAACGGATTTTATTTCAAAAAGAAATTGAAAGAATTTGTGCCCCCATGATGTTTTATTTCTTCATGAAATTAAAAGAATGTTTAGGGCCCTGGTGTTTCGTTTTTTCAAGAAGTTAAACAAATTGCGAAAGTTACCGACGTTTTAGTTTTTTTTCAAACAATTTGAAAGAATCTTGAGGACTCTTGTTACTGTATTTTAGAAAGAACTTAAAATAACCTTTGGACCCCGTGCTCCGTTTCTGAAAGAATTGACAAGATTCTCGCATAGTCCTCGCCGTTCCTTCTCAGAAACAACCCCAAGCAGCACCCCCGGAAACATCCAACTCCGCAAACTCCACCCCGCCCCGGATTTTTCCCCAAACTTCGAATGCATCCCTCCTCGCGTCGTACGCGTGTCGGTGCGCGAATTGCTCCGCCAGTTTGAATGTCAGCACTTTGTGACATAAATAAAGCGGCGAAGACACGTTTCCATTAGACGGAGTCCCAAAGCAGTAAAACTCAACAACTGAGTGAAACTGTGTAATGTTGTATGAATAATTAATTTTGTTCCAGTTTGTCACCTATTGCGAAGTGGAGTGGCTGCCATCTTTGGGCCGCAGTCGGCACATACGGCCAGTCACGTGCAGTCAATATGCGACACAATGGAAATCCCACACCTGGAGACGAGATGGGACTACCGGCTCCGGAGGGAGAGCTGTCTTGTCAACCTCTACCCCCATCCCACCACCTTGTCCAAGGTAACGGCTTTCGCCTGTTTTATACTGCCAACTTGGCAAACTTGTTGAGCCGGATGAAAAAATAGCGTTCACTCCGTAACTACTGGACCAATTTTATAATTTTTCAGAGAAAATGTGTAATTAAGTGCCGATACATATTTTTTAATTCATCTGGGCGCGCCGACAAATTGCCCGGATAATTCCGGGCAGCAAGAAATAGATCCGAAATGATTGGCTGTCAGCCTGTTTTATGCGATATGAAAAATGACTAACTTCTGGATGAATTCCAGTACAGCAGAGCATCAAAACAAACTTAATTAACTGTCTTTGTGTTCCTGGACAATGATGGCTAGTGGATAAAGGAAAGAAAAATATTGTTCAGAAATTTAGACAATACGGAGTTTTAGAATTTCTAATTGTATTAATTTTTGAAAACTTGGATGACGCTTTTTCCGGAGTTGTTATTAGTTTACGTACTTTTGTCGAAACAAAAAGTCAAAGCGCGAATTAATCCACATCAAAGAGATTATTCATAATTTCGTCCATATTCTGGTTTCTGGTGCTCTTTATATTAAATCATACGTTAATAACGCCGAAGTATGGAATCAATACATACGAGTACTTGTTTCCCGAATGAACGCTTTCATTAATTAGTAGAATTAATCTAGCGTGGTAATAACATGGAAATTAACATTATTCCATGCTGATAATTACAAAGCAACTAATAAACCGCCCGGAAATTGTCACCGATCAATAATTTAAAATATATCAACCCTCTTACGCATTTCAGTGAAAATTTTGTTGGCTTTATGTGGCGGAAATGCGCCCGGAAATTCAAACCCGGCTACTCAGAGTGATTTTTCCTTATCGGTTAATATTTTGCTTAAACTGTAAAAGAGAAAATTACTTTCATCAAAATGTAAGAAAAAATCGGGAGTTTGTTTTAACTACTGCAGAAAAAAATTGTGATGATAATTGTGCCCTGGAGGGATTTATCGTTCTAATTTAGAACTAAATTTTTGTTTGAAACTTCTGAAAGTGGCCTTAAACGTATAGAAAAATAATACCATTTTTCCAATATTTCTCCCAAATGGCACTTTTTTTAAAGATCGTTCCAGTTAATTCCGAATTGAAGCTGTAAAACAGGAAAAAATGATCCAAAATAATGGGGTTTGCTGGTATTTTGTTTTAAAAAATATTTGAAATTTTTTTGAAAATTTTGGAAAATTTTGAATTCCCTTTTCGTATTTATTAGAATAGATGTCGCGATAGCGATAACATATTTGTGACTAGCGGAAGATTATCAAAAATTTGACGCCAATTTTCGCTCGATTTAACCAATTTTAACCATTTTTTTGAAAAATTTTAGAAAATTTTGGAACCCAATATTACCTTTATTTTAACATATGTCGTGAAGGCAATTTCGGATTTGTAACTGGCAGAAGATTATCAGAATTTGACACCAATTTTCGGTCGCTTGAACCAATTTGAAACAATTTTTTGGACATTTTTTGAAAATTTTTAATTCACTTTTCTTGTTTATTGCAACATATATCCTGATGGCGATCCCAAATTTGTACCTGGTGCAAGTTTATCCACAATTTGATACCTATTTTCGCTGGATTGACCCAATTTTAACCATTAATTTGAAAAATTTTTGAAAATTTTAGAATCAAATTTTGCGTTCATTTGAATAGATGTCGTGAAGACGATTTCGTATTTTTAATGGACAGAAAACTTTCTACAATTTGACAACAATTTTCGGTAGATTAGATACATTTTAGCCATTTTTTTGGAAAAATTTTGGAAATATTAAATTCACCTTTTGTGCATATTGGAATAGATATTCCGATGGCGCTATCAGATTAGTAACTAGCGGATGATTATCTACAATTTGACACCAATTTTCGGTGGATTGAAGCAATTTTAACCACTTTTTTGGAAAATTTTTGGAAATTTTGACTTCACTGTTCGTGTTTATTGGAACAGATATCGTAACGGCGATATCAGATTCGTAACCAGCGGAAGATTATCTACAATTTGACGCAAATTTGGGTAGATTGAACAAATTTTAACCACTTTTTTGGAAAATTTTTGGAAATTTTGATTTCACTTTTCATGTTTATCGGAACAGATATCGTGACAGCGATTTCACATTGGTATCTGTCGGAAAATTATCTACAATTTGACAGCAATTTTCGGTAGATTGAACCGATTTTAACCACTTTTTTTGAACATTTTTGGAAATTTTGGATTCATTTTTCGTGTTTATTGGAACAGATCTTGACGGCGATTTCAGATTCGTAACTAGCGGAAAATAGTCTACAATTTGACACCAATTTTGGGTGGATTGAAACAATTTTAATCACTTTTTTGGAAAATGTTTGGAAATTTTTGATTCAATTTTCGTGTTTTTTGGAACAAATATTGTGACGGCGAATTCACACTCGTACCTCGCTGAAAATTATCTACAATTTGACACCAATTTTCGGCCGATTGAACAAATTTTAACAATTTTTTTGGAAAACTTTTGAAAATTTTGGATTCAGATTCTACCTTTATACCAACAGATATCGGATTTGTAACTGACGAAATAGTTTCTACAATTTGACACCAATTTTTGGTCGATTGAACCCATTTTAGCCATTTTTTGGAAAATTTTTGAAAATTTTTGGATGTACTTTTCATGCCTATGGAAACAGATATCTTGACGGAGATTCCAGATTTGTAACTGGCGGAAAGTTATCTAAAATTTGACACCAAATCTCAGTCGATTGAACCCATTTTAGCCATTATTCTGGAAATTTTGGATTTACTTTTCGTGCTTATTGAAAGAGATATCGTGACGGTGATCTCAGATTTGTTACTGGTGGATGATTATCTACAATTTGATACCAACTTTCGCTAGATTGACCTAATTTTAACAATTTTTTGGAAAAATTTTGAAAATTTTGAATTCACTTTTCGTGTTTATTGAAACAAATATTGTAACTGCGATTTTAAATTCGTAAATAGCGGGAAATTGTCCATAATTTATCACTAATTTTAACCAGTTTTTTGGAACACTTTTGTAAATTTTGAATTCATTTTTCGTGTTTGTTGGAACAGATATTGTGACGGTGATTTCAGATTCGTAACTAGCCGAAGATTATCCACAATTTGACACCAATTTTCGGTGGATTGAACCAATTTTATCCAAATTTTTGGAAAATTTTTGGAAATTTTGAATTCACTTTTCTTGTTTATTGAAACAGATATCATGACGACAATTTCAGGTTCGTAACCAGCGGAAGATTATCTACAATTTGACACCAATTTTCGGTGAATTGAACCAATTTTATCCAAATTTTTGGAAAATTTTTGGAAATTTTGAATTCACTTTTCTTGTTTATTGAAAGAGATGTCATGACGACGAGTTCAGGTTCGTAACCAGGGGAAGATTTTCTACAATTTGACACCAATTTTCGGTGGATGGAACCAATTTTATCCAAATTTTTAGATTTTGAATTCACTTTTCCTGTTTATTGAAGCAGATATCGTGACGGCGAATTTACAATTTTTCGTTTTTTCATTTTCTTAATTCATTTTTTATTTTTGGATTTTTCATTTTTTTGGTTTCCTCAATCTTTCAAGTTCTTAATTTTTATTTTTCATTTCCCGCCTTTTTACTATTTAACTTTGTCAATTTTAGGAGTTCAGAATTTTTCCATTTTTCATTTAATGGGTTTTTTTCATTTATTCAATTTTTAATTTTTAAATTTGGCGATCTTTCAATCTTACAGTTTTTTGGATTTACAATTTTGACGATCTATAATTTTTAACAATTTTACAATTTTGAGTTTTCCAGGTTTTCGATTTGATCCGCTTTTTTTTCTTTCCAATTTTTCAATTCATTATTTTTTTTTATTTTCAAGTTTCTCAGTTTTTAGTTTTTTAGTGTTTCGATTTTTCTACTTTTTGAATTCAGAAACTTGAAAATCGAAAAAACGCAATTATGAAGGTCGAAGTGAAAATTAAAGAAATCGGAAAATTGGTTAATTACAAAATTGAAAAATCCAAAAATTCAAAAATGAAAAAAACGAGGTTCTTAATTTATAATTTTCATTTTCTTGATTTTTAATTTTTCGATTTTTAATTTTTCGATTTTTTAGTTTCTTAATTTTTCAATTTTGCAATTTTTCGATATTACAATTTTTCGATTTTTTTCGACTTTTCAGTTTCGTAATTTTTAATTTTTGAATTTTTCATTTATTTGGCTTCCTCAATTTTCAAGTTCATGATTTTTATTTTCCATTTTCCCGCCGTTTTTACTATTTAAGTGTAAACGGTGCCGGCAGTCGTTTAAAAAATAATTAAATTTAGGAAAAACGATATTAAAAAACATATTATCCTAGATTCTAAGTATATTATTTGTCACATTTTTGAAAAATCCAAAAACAAAAAAATTGAAAAATGAAAAAATTACAAATCGAAATATTGAGAAATCGACACACCAAAAAATCGGAAAAAATTGAAAAATCGAAAAACTGAAGCAAAGAAAAATAGCAAAATCGTAAAATTGCAAATGGAAAATTTGCAACATTGAAAAACTAAAAATCTAAAAGTTAAAAATCGAAAAAGATTAATGATTCAAAAATTTGGAAATAAGAAAAAATGACTCGAATCGAAAAAGTCCAAAAACATAACATTGAAACATCGAAAAATTGAAAAATTTAATGTCGAGAAATTTTTAAAATCCAACAGCTGAAAATGGAAAAATTCTAAAATCGCAAAATTGAAAAAGTGTAAAACTTTAAAAATTGTGATTATTATTACACATTCAAAGCGAAAACTAGAAAAATTGCAAAAATTAAAAATCAAAGAAATGAAAAATTAAAAAAATCTATACTGGCAAAACCGAAAAATTGCAACTCGAAAAATTGAAAAATTTCACACTGAAAAAAGAAAAACTAAAAATCAAAACATTCAAAAACTGAAAACTTTGAAAAGCAAAGACAATAAAAACTGAAACAAAAAACTGTAAATAAAAAATTTGAAAAAATGAAAAATTATAGAATCGCAAAATTGAAAAATGAAAAATTGAAAACTCGAGAAACTTTAAGCAGAAAAATTGAAACATGTTAACTTGAAAATTCAAAAAATTGCAAATCGAGAAACTGAAGAAACAACATTTTTCAAGCAATTCCAAAGAAGGCCAGTTTTTATGTTGCATTTCAAGGGTGAGGGAAGTTCTGTCGAAATTACCTTGGGGCAATTTTTTTGAAAGAATTTGAAAGAATCTTAGAACTTCTAGCTATTTTTTAATACATCTGAATCTTTTTTGAAAAGGACTTTCCAGTAAGTTCTGAATTTGAAGCTGGAAAATACGAAAAGGAATTTACCAAAAATTTTTAAACTTTTAATTATGAACCCAGGTGGCCTTGACCTATTGTTAGACCTCAACTAGCATCAACAGACCTTGTTTGAAAATAACATTGAGAAAAAACCTCATGCATGGAAAACTAGTTTTTGCGAAATATTTGACATTTGTGAAATCGGGCACCAGTTTTCTAATTTTTTAAATATTTCAAAAGTCTCAAAAGTGGTAATAGTCGCACAAGTTTTTTGTAGATTTAGAGCTCCAGAAGCTATTTTCGGATTAATTTTTTCGAAAATTTCTAGCATTCTTCCAGGATGGTCTAAATGAAAATATCAAAATCGGGGTCCATCACAATTTTTGTTAAATCTGAACCTGGAATTGCTTTTTGATAAAAATTCAGACAGTGATAGTGAATAGTGTGAAAATTAAGATTTAGAATCTACGTATTTTTAAATAAAAAACCACCCTCCAACGTTCCCCCAAAATTTCCTCCCCCACATTAGCACTCCAAACCCCCACCCCGCCCTCTTGATTACTTTTTGCTTGGAACCCGCGCCGACAGTCGCACTAACCCCTTATAACTCTTTGCAGGCATACGTGGATTTGGTGAAAGCCTGGGGCTGGAAATCCTTCACCATAATCTACGAGAATAATGAGGGTCTGGTACGGCTGCAGGAGCTGCTGAAAGCCCACGGACCCTACGAGTTCCCCATCACCGTCCGCCAACTGGGGGAAAGCTCTGATTACAGGTATTTCCGCTCCTCAGACAAACTCGCGTCTTATTTGCCGAACCTGGTGGTTGCGCAAGCGATTATCCGGGAGCTTCGAGCTTGTTAATTGTGATGGCTTTTTGCGTGGGCCGTGGTAATGACGGATTGCTGAAGCTGGGAATCGGGAGAGGACGTGACGCAGACTTCAGTAATTGGGTTATGTAATTGGCTGCAGTCGTAGAGGGTTTTTTGTGGTCGGCTGGATCATTGGAGCGATGAATTTTTTTGCTTGTCTTGGGGGAAGATTGCGTTGGAGGGGATAAGCAAATTGTATGGAATAGAAAAACAAATTCGGTTCCGGTTTTACCTTTTCGAGAAATAAGGGTCGAAAGCTATTTCGTTTTATATAGAGAAAGTGTTTGACTCGAGTTATTGGCAAAACACATTTTTCTACGACTGATATAGAAAGTGGTTTTTGCGTCGGGTTCAGAGTGGGCGAACAATTCACTTCTCTTATTACACTTATCCCAGAATTAATAATAATAACTGTCGACATACACAGGTCACTGCTTGCACGAACGGGAATTAAAACACATTTGCGAAATAAATAGCTTTAACACACAAACTTTGTTACGTGTATTTTTCCAGCTACGTAATGTAAACACACCGATTCGCTGCACATTTTAGTTTGCCGTGATTTTGCTGTTTGTACTGCGATAGTCTATATTTGATCAAGTTTGCAGTTGTACGGTTTTAGATTTTTTCGATGTGTAATCGCATTCATATTTCACGCTGTTCGTTGTTGTTTTTGGGCCTTTATTTTTGTTAGAATTTTCATTCTAAACCCTCGAGCTTCTCCGAAACGTTATTTACGTTTTTATTTTGTTCGAAAATGATGGTTTCATTGTATTTGCGAAATATAGGTCGCATGAATTGACGTTTGACGCAGTCGTTATTCCCGCATTCCGGATTATCGCTTTGTGGTAATTCGATAGATCGAAGTTAATTTTATTTGTAGTGTTGAGTTTAGCATGTCATTACCGTGATTTCGCGTTTCCGATTGAATGTCTTTGTGTAGTTGGCGCTGTTTTTGTGTTTGAAATTAAAGCAGCGTCTTGGATTATGTCTCAAATTATCGGTTCTTTGTCAGTGAACGTCGGCTTTTTGTTTGAGGTATTTGCGAAAATCGATCTGAATTACTGACGCAGACTGTGGGCTTTCTCGCTTTCTTTTTTATCGATTTTTTTGTCCAAGAGAAACATATTTTTCTTCGCTGAACTCATAATAGCAAACTAATCAACTCGAACTCGTTTTCGGGGTCATTTTGTGCTTGGTTTTTGAAAAAAATTGAAACATCTCAACCCTCCTGATGTTTTTTTGGCTTTTTAAAAATACTGGGACTTCTGGTGTTTTTTTGAAAGAAAATCTTGGGGTTTTTTAGATGATTAAAAAAAATTAACTGTGCATTGTTTTTGGAAATTTTTGAAAAAATTTTGGAACTGCTGGTATTTTGGTCTTAAAAAGAATGTTAGTTTAAGAATCTTTGGAGCTGTTGTTTTATTTTAGAAAGAAGCTGAGAGAATTTTTGAGGTCTTTTTTTACAGAATGCTGTTTGAGAACGAAACTGAGAGAATTTTTGGGGACCCTGGTGTTTTATTTTTGCTAGAATTTGAAAGAATTTTAGGGTCCTCGTGCTTTATTTTTCAACGAATTTGTAAGAAACTTGGAAGTCCTGGTGTTTTTTTTTAGAAAATATGTTGAGATTTCGTGGTGTTTTCAATTTAAAAAAAATTGTAGTTTTTTTTTGAAAAACTGAAAAAACCTAAAAATCATTAGTGTTTTATTCCTAAAGAGATTTTTGGAGTCCAAGGAAACCCTAAAGTTTTATTTTAAAAATAATCCCAAAGAATATTGGGGTGTGGTACTTTGTTTTAGAATGAATTTTAGAGAATTTTTGAGACTCCTTTTTTAAATTTTCGCTTTTTTATTTAAAAAAGAGTATTTTAGAATCTTGGGACTTCTGCTTTTTAATTTTAGAAAAAAGCGAGAAAAGTCATTCTAGCCCCTGGTGTTTTATTTTTTAATGAATTTGAGAGAATTTAGGGAATTTAGGGGTGTGTTTCTGTTTAGAAAAAAATTGAAAAAATCAAAATAACTTCGTTTTTGGTTCTAGAAAAATTTGAAACAATCTGGAATCTCCTGGTGTTTTTTTTAGAATTTCTAAAATCTCTGGTATTTTGATTTTAAAAATAATATTTGAAAATTTTTGGTAATCTGATGTTTTATTTTAGGAAGAATCTGAAAGAATCTCTGGGACTCTTGATGTTTTGTTTTAGAAAAGATTTCAAACAATCTTTGGGACCCCTTTGTGTTTTGTTTTTGGAAAAATTTGAAAAAATTTGGGATTTTTGTGTTTTGATTAAAAAAAATATAATATTGGGGTTCCTGGTGCTTTCTTTTGGAAAGAATTTGAAAAAATCTTTGGGACTACTTTGTGTTTTGTTTTTGGAAAACTTTGAAAAAATTTCGGGATTTTTGTGTTCTGATTAAAAAAATATTTAAGAATCTTTGGGAAAGATTTTGAAACAATCTTAGTACTCGTGGTCTTTTACTTTTAAATGAATTTGTCAAAATTTTGGGGAGTCCGGACGTGTTTTCTAGAAAAAGTCTTGAGAGTTTCTGCTGTTTCATTTTAGAAAGAATTTGAAAGAATATTTGGAACCCTGGAGTTTTATTTTTGAAAGAAATTGAAGGACTCTTAAAGCTCCTGGTGTTTTATTTTTAAATGAATTTGTAAACATCTTGCGAGTTCCTGGTATTTTGTTTTAGAAAGAATCTAAAAGAATCTTTAGGTGTTTTGTTGTTCAAAACAATTTAAAGAATCTTAAAGCTTTTGGTGCTTTTTTTGTTTGAAAAAAACTTGAAAATTTTTGGTGCTTTATTTTAGAAAAAATCTGGAAAAATGGTGTTTATTTTTGGAAGAATTTTAAAGAATTTTAGAACTCTCGGTGTTTTATTTTTAAATGAATTTGTAAGAAACTTTGTTATTGTAGGTTTTTTATTTTAGAAACAATCTTGAAAATTCCTGGTGTTTTGTTTTAGAAAAATTTTGAAAGAATCTTTGGCATCTCATTGTGATTCGTTTTTGAAAAACTTTGACAAAATCAATTGGTGCGCTGGTTTTGAAAAAATATTTGAGATTTGTGGAAATTCTGTCTTTTTATTTTTGAAAGAACTTTAGAATTTCTGCGATTTTATTTTTAAATGAATGTGTGAGAATCTTGGGGAATCTTAGTGTTTTCGTTTAAAAAAATCCTGAGAATCCTTGTGTTTTGTTTTAGAAATAGTTTGAAAAGATTTTGCGGACGATGTTATTTTAGGTCTGGAAAAATTTCAAAGAATCTGGAATGTTCTGGTGTTTTTTTAAGAATTTTTAAAAATTCTGGTATTTTATTTTAGGAAGAATCTGAAAGAATCTTTGAGGCTGTTGGCGTTTTGTTTTAGAAAGAATTTAAAAGAATCTTTAGGACTCTGCTGTTTTGTTTTAGAAAGGAGCCTAAGAATCTTTGGGACCCCTCGTGTTTTTATTTTGAAAGATTTTGAAAGACTCTTAGAACTCATGGTGTTTTATTTTTAAATGAGTTTGTAAGAATCTTGGGAGTCCTGATGTATTTTTTAGACAAATTCCTGAGTGTTTTGCTTCCAAATTTTAGAAAGAATTTCAAAGAATGTTTGGAACCCTGGTGTTTTATTTTTGAAAAAATTTGAAAGGATCTCAAACTATTTTCTTGGAAAAAAAATTAGAGTTTTTGTTGTTTTGTTTCAGAAAAAATCTGCACGAATTTTTTTGGGCACTCGGTGTTTTATTTTTTAAAGAATTTGAAAGAATTTTAGAGAACGTAGTGTTTTATTTTAAATTAATTTGTGAGAATCGTAGGAAGTCCTGGTGTTTCTGTTTAGAAAAAAAATATTAAAAAATCAAATCAACTTCGTGTTTAGTTTTTGGAAATCTAGCAACCTCTGGTGTTTTATTATTAAATGAATTTTTGAGAAACTTGGGAAATCCTGCTGTTTTTGTTTTAAAAAATCTTGAGAATCCTTGGTGTTTTGTTTTAGAAACTTTCAAACAATCTGGTGTTTTTTTTTTAATTTTTAAAAATTCTTGTGTTTTGGTTTTAAAAATAATATTTGAAGATATTGGGAATTTTGGTGTTTTATTTTACGAAAAATTTGCAAGAATCTTTGGAGTTCTTGGTGTTTTCTTTAGAAAGATTTTGAAAGAATCGTAGTGTTTTATTTTAAACGAATTTATAAGAATCTTGGAATCCTGATGTGTGTTTTAGACAAAATTTTCAGTGTTTCTGTTACTGCATTATTTTAGAAAGAATCTGAAAGAATATTTGGAACCCTGGTGTTTTATTTTTGAAAAAATTTGAAAGAATCTTAAGGTTCCTGGTGCTTTCTTTTCTTACAAAAAATCTTCATAAGATTTGGTGTTTTGATTTAAAAGGAATTTGAAAGAATCTTTGGGTGGTGTTTTATTTTTGAAACAATTTGAAAGTATTTTAGAACTGGTGGTGTTTTATTTTTAAATGAATTTGTAAGAATCTTGGGGAGTTTTGATGTGTTTTTTTAGGAAAAATTTTGACTGTTGTTGCTGTTTTATTTTAGAAAAAATCTGAAACAATATCTGGAGTTCTTGGTGTTTTATTTTTGAAAGGATTTTAAAGAATTTTAGAGAACCTAGTGTTTTATTTTTAAATCAATTTGTGAGAATCATAGGAAATCCTGTTGTTCTGGTTTAAAAAAAATCTTAAGTCCTTGGTGTTTTGTTTTAGATATAATTTGAGAATCTCTTGCGTACGACTTCGTGTTTAGTTCTGGAAAAATTTGAAGCAATCTGGAATCCCCTAGTGTTTTTTTTTTGTAGAATATTTAAAAACCTTCGTGTTTTGGTTTTTAAAATAATATTTAAAGATTTTGGGGATTTTGGTGTTTTATTTTAGGAAGAATTTTAAAGAATTTTTGCAACCCTTTTA